CGACGCGCGTCACGCGGCGACGCGGCATGCCGCGCGCGCCCGACGCCATCGCGCGGTTCGATTTATTTCCAAAGCTCGGCGATGATTTCGCCCGGCGCACCGCCGCGGGGGGGGCGCTGAGCGTGGTCGGATTGATGTGCATCGTGATGTTGTTCATCGCGCAGATCGGTGAGCTGACGCGGACGACGACCACGCACGATCTCATCGTGGACGACGTCCCGATCGGGAGCGAGGTGAAGATGCGGGTGCACGTGGACGTGACGCTGCGAGCGATGCACTGCGAACAGGTGAGTCTGGACGTGATGGACGTGACGGGAGAGAATCACTTGGACGTCGACGCGCACGAGGTGCGAAAGCAAAGGATCGATGCGACGGGGAAACCGATCCCGATGACGAGCGAAAAGGTGGAGGTGAACGCGAAGACGGAGGTGAAGGCGAAGGAACCGAGCGAGGAGGTGGTGGTGCGAGCGTGTGGTGATTGTTACGGCGCGCGGGAGGATGGAGCGTGTTGTAACGACTGCGACGCGGTGCGAGAGGCGTACAGAAGCAAGGGATGGGCCCTGCCGGATCTCAGGAAGGTGACGCAGTGCGCCAAGGAATTCGACACGGCCGCGATGTTAAACACGCATCGAGAGGGGTGTCGGTTCACGGGGCACATTGACGTGAACCGGGTGGCGGGAAATTTTCACATCGCGCCGGGGAAGAGCTTCAATAGCATCCACGGGCAGCACGTCCACGATTTATCGCCCTTCGCCGGGTTGGAGCGATACGATTTCTCGCATAAGATTCATAAGATTTCTTTCGGAGAGGAGTTTCCAGGCGTGGTGAACCCGCTCGGTCACGTGTCGCGCGCGCAAGACGGTCAGCATCGGGCAGGCGTGTACCAGTATCGCCTATCCGTCGTTCCGTCGAGGTACAGGTACATCGGTCTAAACGCGCGAACGGTGGAGAGCAACGACTATTCCGTCACCGATCACTATCGCGGGTTCGATCATACGAAAGATGGCGGGTCGCTCCCAGGAATTTTCTTCTTTTACGATCTCTCGCCGCTGCGCATGGAGTACGAGGAACGACGCATGGGTCTCCTTCAGTTCCTCGCCAACGTCGCCGCCATCATAGGTGGTGTCTCCGCGGTGATGGGCATCGTAGACGGCGCGGTGTATCGCGGCCAGCGAGCACTTAAAGAAAAGGTAGACTTAGGCAAACAAGGGTGAGCGGATGTTGGTTGTTATTTCACACACGCCGCCGCATTAGGTAATCATAAGGACAAGATTCACATACATGCAGAAGGTACAGCACCGCCGCGTTAGTTGGCGACGCGCAAAAAGTCCGACGACCCCGATGGGACGTTCGGATGACATCGTTTTCTCAACGCCAACGCGTCCTTGGCGCACTGCTTGCCGACGGCGGCGAGTCGTTTCATCCCTTCAACGAACGAAATCTCCCCGCTCGAGATCTCACGCTTGATCTCGTCGTACTCGGCGTGACATTTCTCCTCCAGAGCCTTCTTCGCCGCTTCGCAATCGTCGTCGGGGTCGTCGTCGCGGTCGTCGTCCGAGCCCGTCGCGCGCGCGCACGCCGAGGCCTCCGCCGCGAGCTCCGAGACGCACGTCCCTCCCACCCTCGCGAGCGCATCCGCGACACACGATGCCTTCGATCCATCCCGCTCGCATCGCTCCACCGCGTCATCGACCTCTCGATCGCACCGCTCGAGGATCCGATCGATCGTCGCGCCCGTCTCCGCCGCCGCCGCCGCCGTCCCGCCCATCCTCGCCGCCGCCCCGCACCGCGCCAGCGCCGCCGCCAAAGCGCGCGCGAGTCCATCACCGGCCTCGATCGCCCGCTCGACCTCCATCGCGCACGTCGACGCCGTCACGCCGACGCGTTCGACGCACGACGATTCATCCATCGCCATCGACCGCGTCCGCGTCGCCGCCGTCGCGCCCGGCACCGCGCGCGCGTCCACGGCACGCGCGAGCGCGACCGTCACCGCGAGCGCGGCGACGAGGACGCGCGCGACGCGCATCGTCTGCGAACGCGCCGTGATGTGATGTGCGGTCACATCGACGTCACGCGCCGACGCGCGATGCGTCGGACGTCCCGCGCGCGCGCGCTCGCGGCGGTGACGCTGGCGCTCTGCGTCCGCGCGTGCGCGGCGACCCCGACGCGCGTGACGTGCGATCGTCGCGGGAGCTATAGCTTGGAGGACTTGGCGACGACGGGACAAATCATGAATGAAACGCCCGTGACGGTGACGAACGCGATCGCGCTCGGCGCCGGGTTCGGGGCGACGTACGGGGCGAACGCGGTGGTGACGCTCGAGCTGAAGAATCTCAAGAGCGGGGGGGCGTTCGTGCACGCGACGGCGGGACGCCTGGGGGGGGACGGGCTGGCTGCGTGGACGGCGCGGACGGATTGCGCGACGACGTCGTTGTACCACAAGTCGTACGGCATGGCGGCGTCGTACGGGGGGGTGACGTGGACGGCGCCGAGTGATGTCTCGAATCTGCCCACGGTGGAGATCTTGGTCGCGTCCGCGAGCGGGCAAGGTGCGGTGACGCGGCAGACGCTCACGCTGACTCGAGACGACAACTGGGTCGCGCCGCCGCCGTCGACGCCGACGTGCGATGCGTCGGCGGTGCCGACGAACGGCGCCAGCGCCGGTGATTGTACGGCCACGCTCGCGGCGGGCGCCACGTGCCAGCCGGTGTGTGCCAGCGGGTACACCGTCTCCGGGACGAGCGCGTGCAGCTCGAGCGGCGTACTGACGCCGGCGACGTGCACCGCGACGCCGGATCCGACGTCGACGCCGACGTGCGATGCGTCGGCAGTACCGACGAACGGTGCCAGTGCCGGTGATTGCACGGCCACGCTCGCGGCGGGCGCCACGTGCCAGCCGGTGTGTGCCAGCGGGTACACCGTCTCCGGGACGAGCGCGTGCAGCTCGAGCGGCGTACTGACGCCGGCGACGTGCACCGCGACGCCGAATCCGACACCAGGGGGCGGATATGGATCGTCTGGATCATCATCCAGCGCCGCGAGTCGCACCGTCACGCTCTCGGCGTCGCTGGCGTTCGCCACCATCCTCGGCGGCGCGCTCGCGTGAGCGCGCCTACGCCCACGCCTGGGTCACCGAGGCGCTTTGCTTTTTCTTTTTTTCCATCAATTTTTTTCCAATGTCCATCACCAGGCATTTTCATCACGTGTACCGCGTCTCGCGTCACCGATTCCGTCGTCATCGAACGCGTCGTCGTCGTCGTCGTCGAACGCGTCGAACGCGTCGATCGGGGCCGCTTTCGCCTCGCGTTATCCAGGACAACACACCACACCGCCGCACACGTCGACGCCCGTCGCCCCGACATCCGACGCGCGCGACGACGAGCATGTTCACCGTCTCCACCACCGCGTCCACGGCGCGCGCGACGATCCGCGCGGTCGCGAGCGGCGCACAAAGTCAAAAAGTGCACCGAGTGACGTCACCAGCCATCGCGCGTCGCGCGCGCGTCGTCGCGCGCGCGGGCGAGGACGAGGCGGGCGAGGACGAGTTCGAGGCCAAGCTCGGTGCGCTCAGAGGGAAGCGATCGAAGCGCGCGGCTGGGTCGAAGACGACGAGCTCCGAGGGCGAGCCAGCGAAGACGTCGAGCGCGCCGTCGAGGTCGCGCGCCAAGGGCGTGCGGGACTTCACGACGACGGATAACATCGATGAGCCGGCGATCGATTGGGGCGTTGAGAGCGTGGTGTACGAAGGACCGCCGGCGAGAGGGGAGGTCGTGGCGAACGTGGCGATGTCGTGGACGCTGGTGTGGATACCGTTGGCGATTCAAGCCGTCGGCCGCGCGCTGTGGTTGACGTACAAGATCACGGATAAGCGCGTGACGGTTATCTCGGTGTCGCCGCTGAGGAAAGAGCGCACGGACATTCCGTTGGATCAAATCACCGATGTGATCTCCATTGGGCGCGGAATCGGAGCCTGGGGTGACATGGTCGTCACGCTTCGCAACGGCGAAAAGGTTGAGGTGCGCTCTCTGCCGGATTTCAAGAAGTGTGAGGAGATGATCCGCAGCAAGATGTACAAGGAGAAGATCATCGATTTCTGAGACGATTCGTAACGTTGAGGACGCCGTGTTGTGCTATCGTACTACCCTATTCATATAATACAACATCGACGATCGTTTCCCGCTACGGCGCCTCGTATCGATACTCGACGACACCGCTCGCCGCGTCGGTGGGAAGTCTCTGCGCGCTCCAACTCGACGCGTCGTCAGCGAACGCTCGGCCAGAGACGACCGTGCGCTCCACTTTTGTCATAGACCCCGATTGAGCGACCGCGCATCGACCGCCGTCGACGACGAATCTCTTCGGCAACGACCTCGCGCCCGCCGGTCTCGACGTCCACCAGTTCACGAGCAGCGTCACGCGCTGTCCTCGAAACTCCGACGCATCGTGCAAAACCCCGTGCCACCGATCGCCATCGAAGACGAAAAATCTATTCTTTTTCACTCCGCACGCGCACACCACGCTCGGCGTCGTCGGTTCGAGTTCGCCCGCGTTCGCCCTCGACGTCGTCTGATCGAACACGCACGTGGCGCCGCCGCCTCGATCGCCCGCAACGTACAGCACGCTCGCCGACGTCGGATGCGACCGCTTCGACGATCCATCATCACACATCACGACGTCACAATCGGTGTGATACACCTTTGGCGGCTCGTCGTGCGCGACGTCTTGGATCCACCACTCGGCGCCGACTATCCGCGCCGTCGACGCCGTCGCGCGACCCGACCGCGCCAACGCCCCGATCGCCGCCTCCACCGCGCACCGCGGCGCGTCGAACGCATCCACCGGACACCAAAACGCGCTCGTCAGCGACGCGCGCGTCGCTCGATCGCCCGTCCCGTCCTCGAACGTTTCGTCGCTCGGTGACCACAGCTCGCTCGTCGGTTCCTCCCCCGCGTCCACGATCTTGACGTACGCGTCGACGAACGCGACGAGGGCGTCGAACGCGTCGTCGCGCAGCGCGTCGTCGCGCGCGTCGACGCGCATCGTCGACGGGCGTGGCGAAGAGACGCCGCGATGGGATGAAACATCGAGCGTTCCCGAGACGTGCTCGACGCGTCACACGCGCGCGCGCGAGCTCGAGCGCGCGACGTCGAGCGCGGACACGGGCGCGGACGACGCGCGCGCGAGGCGTCGTCGACGGGCGCGTCATGCGCGCGAGCGCGGCGGAGGCGGAGCTTCGACGAAAGTATGAATTGCTCAGGAAGAAACGCGAGGCCAAGGCGGCGCGCGAGCTCGAGCGCGCGAGCGGAGATGGGGGGAGTAAGGGCGGTGGTGGGGACGGAGGGAAACTTCGGGGGGGGGAGGCGAGCGCGCGAGGGGTCGGGAGTGGGTTCGGGGGGGCGAGGGGCGGGATCGGCGCGCGCGTCGGCGCGGCGGAGACGAAGAGCGAACCGGTGGATCCCGCGATCGAGCGCGCGAAGGCGATCCTGGCGGGATTGCACAAAAAGAAACAACCAGGGGTGGCGGCGCTGAACGCGAAGGAGAAGGCGGAGAAGGATGAGAATGAGACGATTGGTTCGAACGCGGAGACGAAAAAGCCAAAGCTGGTCTTCACGATGTCCAAGCGCGAGATGAAGGCGACGCCGGTGATGGTGGACGACGACGGCCCGATCGGGTACGCGTCAACGGTGGTGCAGCCGGTGAAGGCGCCGGAGCCGGTGGTCGAAGCGCCGGCGATGGTCGAAGCGCCCGCGGTGGTGGCGCCTGAGCCCGCGCCGGTGGTCGCTCCCATAGTTGTGCCGGCTCCAGTACCTGTGAAGAAGGAGATCAAGCGACCGGGTTTACTGAAACGATCTGGATTACTCTCGCCTGAGCCGGCGAAGCGGGCGAAGTTGAGCGCGCCGACGCCGTTTCCCGACGTGACGGATGGCGTCGGCGAGCGCGTGGACAAGAAGGCGCGAGAGGTCTGGATCGGAGACTTACCGGAAGGGTGCACGGTCGAGATGTTATCCCTGGCGGCATATCGGTACGGACGCGTCAATAGCTGTCGCGTGATCGAGCGTAAAGGCTTTGGTTTCGTCACCTTTGCGGATGGGACGTCGGCGGAAAAAATCGTCAACGCGAGCGTCGCGCACTTCAACGATCCCGAGAAGGAGCCCGTCATCGTGGACGGTCGAATCGTTCGAGTAGATTTCAGCGACGAACGCGGTTCAGGCGGGGACAAGGGTGCGATAGACCTGATTCGTCAGCGTGCCGCCGAAGAGCTCGAACGCATAAGAGATGGAGAAATCGTCGACGAAGCCGTCGAGTACGTGAAGCGAGACGTCGTCGTTTACGACGACATATAAACTAGACATTCTCGAGATGTCACCACCTATTAGCACATGATACTTGAGCGCATTGTTTGAATCCCGCGCGCTCTCCCGCGCGAGTGTACGAGATGCTTCCGACGGTTCCGTCTCCAACCGCACACCTCGTCGCGCGCTCCTCTTCATGGACGACGACCGCGTCGCCTTGCTCGGCGAGACGCCGCCGACACGTCGTCCGTCTTTAACGCGAGATGTATCGCGCGCGTTCGTCATCGCCGTCGCCCTCATCGCCGGTCTCGTCGGCTTCGCGGTGTCGCGTGAAGAGGGTGTTGGCCCGAACGAGCCCGCGCTCGGACGTTCGTGGAAGAGCTCGGACGATCTCGCGCGATGGGCGCACGTCGCCATGCGCGCCAAGGAACGCGGGCGCGTGTTCACGCCCGCGGCGGCGCACCGCGTGGTGGTGATGGCGATGAGCTCGGGCGACAACGCGGCGCAGGCGAACGAGTGGGCGGCGTCGCTCAAAGACGTAGGCTTGACGAAATTCATGATCGGATGCGGGGACGAGAAGTGCTTGAGACCGTTACAAGCGCTTGGTGCGCCCGTGTTCGATGCGAGGGAGTCGACGGGGGGATTCATGATGGACGGGGGGTCAACGGACGACGCCGCGAGGTGGGCCGGGCTGGCCGCCGCGGAATCTTTATTAGACTTAGGATACACCGTCATGTTGACGCAGCCGACGGTGCGGTTCAGGAGGAACCCGATGGAGGTTGTTGCGGACTCTATCTCTCGACACGACTCGACGCACGGAGCGGTGTTCGCGATGCGAGGCGCGACGTCGATGAACGTCACACAAGCGGAACTCGGCGCGTGGACGGATGGGACGTCTCTGGCGTCGCTTCGAGACGATTTCGTCATCTTCACCCCGGGGTCGCAGCCTTTGATTCGATCGGTGTTGTCGTGTTTCAATTCGTCCTTGCCTGAGGACGTCGCGAGTTTGGGACAGAGCGAAGACGAGTTGTCGACGCCAGCGGAGACAGAGTTCAATTACAAATCCAACGCTGCGTACGTGCTAAATCACGTCTTAAGCAAGGATGCGGGGCTGAGATGGAAGAGTCCGAATGGGAAGCCCGCCGCCGCGGCGCCGTTCAAGACGAAACCGCGCGAGATCGCGGTCGACGCCGCGCTTTTGGGTGCCGACGGTTCGGTTCCTGGCGTCACGACGGAGCTCTCCGGTATCGCGAGCATCGGCGACCACCCCATCACCGTCGTCCTTCTGGACACCGTCGTCGCGCGCGCGCACTGCAACGACGCCGATGCCGATCACATGCGTAAGACGTACGTCGTCGGGTGCGATTTAGACGACGCCTCGCTCGCCGGTCGACGCGTAGAAATCGACCATCAGTGCGTCATCTTAAAGGCGTTGGAAGCGTCGGGTGAGGGATTCGGTCGAGGGCCCGCGCATTTATTCGGCGCATTCGAGCATGTCAAGGGTGCGGACAGCCCGATCGCGGACTCAAGAGGCTTCTTAGGCGCCCTCGACGCGTGTCGATTGTAACGCTACACTTCACGCGGTTGCTTCGCCGACGCCGCACACGTCGACGCGTCCCGTCGATGCGCGATCGCGACACGTCGTCGCTCGAGACGTACACGCGTGCGGCATCTCGACGGGACAGCAGGCCGTCTCTCGCGCGTCGTCCTCGCGCGTGCGCGCGCGCGAAGAACTCGAGAGCGCAACGAGGATTGATTCCGCATCGTCGCCTCGTTCGCCCCGAGTGAACGCGTCGCGACGCGCGCGACGACGATGCCGGAGCCGCGAGACGACGACGTGACGGACGATCGATCGCTCTTGATCGTGCTCGTGGAAACGAACCCGAGAACGTGGGAGACGAGCGAGGGGAAGGGCGAGGGTACGCCGGCGTCGCGCGGATTGTCGAGCGTGCTGGGGGCGACGATCACGTTCTTGAACGCGTTCTTCGCGCTGAATCAGCAAAACAGAGCGGTGGTTGTGGCGGTGCACGGGGATGGGTGTCATTACCTGTACACGTCTCCGCTCGGGGTGGAGACGGATGAGGACGGGGACGAGGCGGAGGACGCGCGGTGGGCGAACAAAGTCGGCGGATTGGATCCGCTTCAGTCGGAGGCGGGACCGACGATTCTGAGGCGTTTAGGGGAGTTGAACGCGGCCGAGACCGGGTCGAGCGCGACGGGTGCGAAACGCGACAAGGCGGACTCTGATGATGGTCCGGCGACGTCGCCGTTCGCGGGAGCGCTGAGTTTGGCGTTGTGTTACTGCAATCGCGCGCAAGCGCTCGAGAATGCCGCCGGTTTACGCTCCAAGCCGCGTATTCTATGCCTCCAGGCGTCGCAGGACAATCCAACGGATTACATTCCCATGATGAACGCCATTTTCAGCGCTCAGAGACAATCGATCCCGGTCGACGCCTTCGCCTTGGGCGAGCACGACTCTCCGTTCATGCAGCAAGCGGCGCATATCACCCGCGGCGCTTACGTCAAGCCCACCCTCGGCGATGGCTTACTCCAATATCTCCTCTCCACCGCCGTGATGGACCTCAGGAGCCGCGCCTTCCTTAAGCTTCCAGCAGCGCGAGGCGTCGACTTTCGCGCCTCGTGCTTTTGCCACAACGGCCCGTCAAGCGTCGGCCTTCGTGTGCTCCGTCTGCCTCTCCGTCTTCTGCGACGGTCGTCCCGCGTGCGACACGTGCGGCACCACATTCGACGCCCCCGACGTAGCATCATAGACGTCATAGATCCCTCTTCACGCGCGATCTCTCCGCCTCGCCCGCCCGCCCGCCCGCCCGCCCGCGCGTAAAAGATACTTTGCCTGCGCCAGGGACAGATCTCTCGCCTCGAACCGACCCCGCATCTCCCGACGCGTCGCCGCGCCCCGATCGACCCCGCGCCCGTGACCCGCGTCGTCGACGTCGTCGATCGCGATCGCGTCGACGACGTCGCGCGCGTCGGCGTCGACGCGCCGGAGACGCGATGCCGCTGACGATTCAAAAAACGTCAACGGTTTTCGTTAGTCTCGGACGTTCGCGATGGACGACGACGACGACGCGGACGGCGACGCTCGGACGGGTCACAGGGACGGAACGGACGCGGGCGGTGGTCGCGACGGCGCGCGCGCGACGTGGGGCGGTGCTCGCGAGCGGTGAGAGCGCGAGGGAGCGGGCAAAGGCGCTGAGCGGACGCGGCGACGGACAGCGAAGAGGGAGTCAGACGAAGCCGAAGCAGCGAGCGCAGGTGGAGGTGCGAGCGATGCATAAACCGATGGCGATGCCCACGGCGCTCGTGAAAGAGTGTGTGGAGGGACCGCTGGAGCTGGCGACCGATGAGCATCGCGTGCTGGTGCTGGACGTCGGTTACAGAACGATAGACATCGTCTCGTGGCAGCGCGCGGTGGTGCTGCAGATGTACGAAAAGGTTGACGTCGTCGCGTATTACGATGGACCGTGGGCGCTGAGTGCGGAGGATGCGTATTACGTCCCGGCGGTTGTGCGCACGCGGGAGTACAGCAGGCACGTGAGTCACAAGACGCCGCTTGTCTCTCTGCACAGAAGGAATATTTTCATCCGCGACGGTTTTAGATGCCAATACTGCGGTACAGGGGACGATTTGACGGTCGATCACGTCTTTCCGGCGTCCAAGGGAGGGCCCTGGACGTGGGAGAATCTCACCACGGCGTGCGCGCGATGCAACAACAAGAAGGGCGACAAGCTGTTGTCGCAGAGCGGGCTCAAGCTGCGCAGCCAGCCGAAGGCGCCGACGGTGGCAAACATGTGCCTTTACACGCGACACGGGCGATTTGTTAACCCACCGGAGGAGTGGGTGCCCTTCATCCCCGTCGACCAAATCGTAAAAACTCATGAGAAACGGAAGAAGGCGAACTCGAAGGGGGCGGCCGTCGCTCGGTGCAGATGAGAATTTAAACGCGCCAAAATTGTTGTACTGTACCAGTACCGGCTACGAAAGTGTTTTAAGAAGATGTTGTCATATAAGTATCTTACGCATACATGCACGCGCGCTACTCTTTCGTCGCCATCAATCTTTCCAGGCGTTCTGCCTCGTCCTTGACGTTCACCGTCACCGTTCGAATATCGCCGCTCAACTGCACCAATCCGGGCTTCGCACCGCGCGGTTTGCTCACCTGTCTACATCGCACGAGCGACACCTGCGCGCGACCCACTTGGTTCGCCTTGCTATTCTTCGCCGCCAACACGGCCGCATCTATAATCGTCTCCTTGGGTAAATCGTCCCCGGTGTATCGAATGACGACGTGCGAACCCGGACATCCCGCCGCGTGCATCCACCAGTCCCGCGAGTCCCTACACTGCGGGTCGCAGCTCACGCTATCGTTATCCGAGGACGTTCGACCGACGCGGATGTCGATTCCATCCACGCTCACAAAAGTCCAGTACGGCATCCGCGGCTTAGTCACGTTCTTCGGCCCCTTTTGTTTCACCACTCTCGGCGGCCTCGCCGGGGGCTCATCCTTCACGTCGAGCGCCGCGGCCAACGGGTACGCCTCCTCCGCGAACGCCGGCGAGTTCGTACTCTTACACGACATCAGAATCTCGCTCAGTGTATTCAAATCCGCTAATTCTGTCTTTAACGCCTTCAACTCCGCCTCGATCGCCTCAACGTCCGGCGCCGCGAGTAACTCGTCATCCGTCGCGTCCTCGCGCGCGAGCAACGCGTCCACTCGCTCACGTCCTTGACGCAATTTCGTCGTCGTCTTCCCGACCTTTTTCATCGCTCGATCGATTCGTCGTAGCGTCTCCTTCTTCATTCCGTCAACGTCGATCTCTTCGATCGGTTTGTACGTCGACGTCGACGTTTGTACGTCATCGTCGGCGGCGGTGAAGTTTTGGCGAAGGACTCTTGAGCTCGATGCGACGTGTTCGAGACGCCTCGTCGGAGCGCGACGACGCGCGGTGGACGCACGCGCCGTTATCGACGCGGTGATGCGACCGAGCGCGGACATGGCGTCACAAGGCTAGGGTGAGACGCGACGCGCAGTGAGGGGCGCGCGAGCGGGACGGATAGCGCTAGAGCGCGCCGCGCGTCATCCGACGAAACCAAAGTACTCGGGATCGTTCTGAATGAGTTTGGTTCGGTTGGCGAATTTTCCTTCGTCCTCGTCGCTCGCGCACTCGTCGTCGAGGCGAGCACGAGCAAGGGCGTCCTCGATTTGGGCCTCGGTCGGGATGGGCCGGGGCGCGAGCGCCTTGATGGCGTCCTCGAGCGTGGCGTACTGCGGGAGTGGACGGATTCCGAGCGCCTCTGGCGTTCGAGCCTGCTTGTTCATGACGGACATGTCGTCATCGGCGCGCATGAGGGCGTAAGTGATCATGTCCAAGGTGTCCGAAGGGGCGTCCTCGACGACTCGTCGTGAGGCGGCGGCGACGACGTACGCTCGCGAGGATTTCGCTTGCGCTGCCGCCTTGACGATCATCTTCGAATCTGACGCTCGTACTCGACAGGAGTGCTCGCCATGGACGATAGCGAAGTGACAGTTAACTTGCTCGATGGATTCCCACACGTCATCCGCGTCCCAGGCGCAGTGGAATTCGGGATCGACGCGGAACATCCAAATCTCGCTTCCGGACGGTAGCGTCAGCCCCTTCACGCGCCGAGACGCTCTCGTGAGCGTTTGAATCGCGCGAACACACGCGTATCGCGGATTCCTGTGTTCGGAATGTTTGTCATCGGCGATCGACGGCGACATAAGCGCGCACACGGCGTCGAGAATATCAAAGTAAGCACCTGCTTGCAGAGGGAAAAACGAATACGCATCCGCTGGAGCGAGTGGCGAGCACTCAACGAGCACTGTCGACGCCACGAGTCGTGGATTCTTCTTCGCGAGCTCAAGGGCGACGATACCACCAAGACCAAAGCCCACGAACGCGACCGGGCGCACGTACAAATCGAGCTCGACGATGAACGACTCAATGTCTGCGGCTAAGTCGCTCGGCGCGTATCGCCCCTCGCTAGATCGAGAAGAATCACCGTGACCTCGCATATCAATCGCGTACGTCCGATACCCACGCTCGCTGAGCTTTTGCGAGAGTCCGTAGTACACATCACCGCACTCTCCAACGTCATGCAAGACGATGACGACACGATCCGAGCCTCCGTACGCGCGATACCGACACCGCGTCCCCGTCTCCAAATCCACCCATCGCGTCTTCTCACCCTTATCGATCGCCCGCGCCTTGATCTCCGCCCCCTCCAAAGCCTTGACCAACTTCCGTTCCTCCACGAGCGCCGGTTCCAGAGCTCCGACGATCGCTTCGCTCGTCACCAACGCCGTCGCACCGCTCGTCACCAAAGAACCGCCCACGAGCGCCAGAGACGACTCGACGCGCGGCGCTCGACGATGACTCGGCGTCGGTTCCACGCCTCGACCGCGGCCCGAGCGCGTCCTCGATCTCGTCCGCGTCGATCATCTCGATCGCGCCCGCGCGCGTCGACGTGTGCGCGATGAAACGCTCGACGACGTTCGCGTGACGAAAACCGTTTTAAAACGCTCGCGAAAAAGTCAACGCGCTTTTTTATTTTTACCGACGCGCGAGCGCCGCGCGCGACGCCACGCGCGCGCGCGGTCGAGATGGCGCGCGGGGAGAGAACGGGGACGAGCGCGAACGATCGTCGGTCGACGCGCGCGGAAGAGAATCACGCGCGAGCGGAGGTGATCGTCGACGACGATGGAATCGTGCGAACACCGAGACCGCTGAGCGGGCGAGGTGGGCGGGTGGACGCGCGCGAGCGCGGACGACGGGCGTCGACCGCGTCGAGCGCGCCGGAGACGACGATTGTGAGTGAGTGCGCGAGCGAGTGCGGTGGGGAGAGCGGTGTGGGACGGGTGGGTGAGGGTAGGCGCGCGGGCGACGGGCGGCGCGCGGGCGGATTGAGAGATGAATCGGCGAAGACGCGAAGGGAGCACGCGTACGTCAGCGACACAGATGCGCTCGAAACTGAGTGCGAGAACGCGAGAGAGATTCATGCAAAACGAGACGCGGCGTACGCAGCCAAGGTGAAGGATGTTCGTGCGTCAAGAGCGCAGTTATCGGAGTCAAGCGTGCAGACGTTGGAAACGCCACGGTTCGACGCGAGATCGATGACGACGACGACGAAGCGAGAGACGCGCGCAGTGCAGGCGGATGAATTGGTCGGAGAGAAATGTGATGGTAATCTCGCAGATGTGACGTCCGAGCGTTCGCTTCGCGTGCGTGTGGGAGTCGTTCGAACCATCGAGGATGCGCTTCGTGAACGTGAACGATTAGAGTATTGCTTGAAGTACAGAGGTTTGCGCCCTGCGAAAGACTCGAATGAGCGAGATTTGATCGAGTTGAGTACGTTGAAATGTACCGAGACTGCGGGCATGAACGTGTCGTGCGTGAAGTGCAATCCGATGAGAGGGGATTTAGTGTGCGTCGCGTACGGCGATTTTAGTTTCGCCGGCGCGAATTCGTGCGATGTGAAGGAGAAGGGTGCGCTCGCATTTTGGTCGCTTCGTTCGGAGGCTCCGATTTACGTCGCGAAATTTGCGAGCGGGGTTATGTCCGTGGATTGGTCGAGAGAAAGTCCAAGCTTACTCGCTGTTGGATTCTATGATGGGGAAGTAATCGTGTTGGACGTGGGACAATTACGCCCTGACGATTATCGAGACGCCGCGACGTCCACGTCATTCACCTCGACGTACCGCGGTCAAATGATGTCAAATGAGCACCGCCACAACGATCCAGTTTGGGCTGTTAAATGGATCGAAGTGCGAGACTCTGATGAATTCGAGTGTGACGAGAGTGAGAGCACGACGAGCGTGTTAATGTCCGCCTCGACTGATGGCAAAGTCCTTCGATGGGATTTGCATAACGGTCTGCACGCATCGGAAGCTCTCGCCGTGCGATGGTCACCACCGGGCAACGAAAGCGGGTTATCCAAGGACACATCTGCGATCGACGGTGTCGACGTCGCACGTCTCGCGGGAGTGACCTGCTTTGATTTCGCCGCCGATGCCAAGTATTTCGTTGTCGGCACAGAGGAGGGGAAAGTCCACCAGTGCTCGCTGGACTTCTCAGACCAGTACGTGTCGTCGTACGCCTCGCACATCGGACCGGTGTACGCGATCAAGTACAATCCGTATCACGAACGAATTTTCATCACGTGTTCGGCCGACTGGACGCTCCGTGTGTTTATGGACGACGCAGCGCATCAAAACAATGACTTCACTTTGATCGACGAATCGTCGTCCCGCCTCAAGCTATCGAATATCATCCAACCTCGATTCGTGATTGAATACGGAGAGCAGCCAATTAATGCTGTCGCGTGGAGCCCGTGGTGCGCCACTGAGTTTGCGGCAGTTACGGATGCCGGCACAATTGAAATTTGGGACTTGGCGTCCTCCACCGTCGTGCCAAAACACGAAGTCCGAATCACGCCCGACCGCACGGCTGCGGTGAGCGTGACGTACGCCCACGATGCACCGGTGATGTACGTTGGCTGTGCCACGGGATCTACTCGAGTCTTCCGAATCAACTGGCGAGACCCAACGGAGGAAGTCGAAGCGCGAGAGATCCAACGTGCGACGCTAGAGAACATCATGAACGAGAAATCTCACAAACACTAAGACGAGGAGCGTTTGAGTAAAGTGAAATTTGATTTGATTGATTTTACACCTTACGCGCGATAACCGTATAAAATGCGCGTCCCGCGCCTCTAAATTACTCCTCTTTGGTCGCCGCTGCACGATGTTCGATGACCTCATCTATCAAGCCAAACTCCAACGCGTCCGAGGGACTCATAAACGTATCTCGCTCGAGCGTCATCCCAATCTTATCGTACTCTTGATTCGTGTGCTTCATGTAAATATGAATCAACTTTTCGCGCACGTTCAAGATCTCCTGCGCGTGAATTGCGATGTCGCTCGCCTGTCCCGAAGCCCCTCCGCTCGGTTGGTGCAGCATCACGCGCGAGTTCGGTAAACTCCTTCGTTCACCCTTCGCCCCCGCCGCGAGCAACAACGACGCCATGCTACTCGCCTGTCCAACACAAAGCGTGTGTATCGGCGGCGACACGTACTGCATCGTGTCGTAGATCCCCAACCCCGCCGTCACGCTCCCTCCCGGAGAGTTGACGTACATCCAAATCGGCGCCGTCGGCGACGCGCTCTCGAGGAACAACAACTGCGCCACCGCGAGCGAGCTCGCGGTGTCATCGATCGGGCCGTTGATGAACACGATGCGCTCCTTTAACAGTCGGGAGTAAATGTCGAACACGCGCTCTCCGCGATTCGTTTGTTCGAGCACCATTGGGACCAAGGCGTAATTCCGAATCGTCCCCATTGAACTCGACGACCGATCGATCGGTGGGGTCGCGAGGACGTTCACGCGCGTGAGAGAGCGCGCGGATGACCGCGAACGATTCAGAGCTGCGCGGAACATCGCGCGCGGGACGCGACCGCGTCGAGGACTGACGCGCTGGCGCGTCGCGAGCAAGTGCCACTAACATTTACAGCGAACGCTCACCGAGCGAGTTTAGCTCGCCTACGTAGCTAGATTAGTTGCGGTGGAAACGCCGATGAGTCCCGGGATGGAGAAGTCGTGGATGTTCTCGATGACGGCGACGCGACGTAGGACGTCGACGACGGAACGGAGGGAGGACGGTCTCTTTTCGAGAAAGTCGTCTAGGACGGAGCCGCACGCGGCGACGAAGGAGTGGTTGGCGACACCGTCGTGGCGGGAGCTGATTTCCTCGAGGAGGGTGCCGTAGGCGCGACGCTCGCAAGCATCGATGATGGACGCTTCGGGGGAGTCGACGTCGTAGAACCAGGTGGCGCCGAAATCTCCTAGCTTTGCCCTCGGCTTCACCCCCGGCGCCTGTCTGATGAAGAGGATGTTGTGCGCGTAGATATCTCCATGACACACTCCCATCGACTGTAAGTCGCACAGCGCCGAACCGACGTCAATGGCGATTGCTGCGATCTCGCGAGCGGTAAACGTGGTGTCGTCGTGGTACACGTCTCGCGTGACGGTGTGGAAATTCGGAGGTTTCCCAAGAGGCTGCCAGTCGTTGTTGAGATACTCCATCACCAATCCCCTGGAGTCACCTCGAGTGAAGCACCCTAGCGCTTTTACCGTTCCCTCGCTTCGCACCTTTGACGTGACCATCGACGCCATCAGCTCGTCCTGTGGTCTCCCATCGCTCGTTTTCTCCGTGTTAGCGTACACCTTCAGAGCGACGAGTTGACCATTGAGCCTTCCTGCGTACACATTCCCGGACGTTCCCCTCCCGATCGGTTGGGCGTTCATCGGGACGTCAAACTTCTCCCACGGCGTGAGCGGCAACTCGTCCTCGCCGATGCTCGCCTCGGCCTTTCTCGCCGATCCATCCGTCGCGGGATTCCCCGCCGCCGCCAACCACGTTAATTTAGGTAAAGAATATAACCAACTCGGAATCTGTTCAAACTCGTTATCCGCGATTCGCAACAACTCCAAATTTTCCAACTTTTTCATCGACTCTGGAAGCTCCCTGAGACGGTTCCCGGCGAGCATGAGTTTACGCATCGCCTTACACTCCCCGATCGCGCTCGGTAACCGCTCGATCGCGTTATCGCTCAGAATCAACCACCCAAGACTTCTCGGCAGCGCCGTCTCCGAAATCTCTCGCAACGCGTTCGACTTAAAGCTCAACATGTACAGCTCCGGGAGCTCGCCCAGCACCTCCGGCGCGTCCGCGAACGCGTTCCCCAAAAAGAACGCGATTCGCAACCGTCGACATCGTCCCAACGCCCTCGGGAGCGCTTTCAGATTATTCCCTCCGCAGTTCAGCACCTCGAGCCCGGTCAATCGTCCGATATCCTCTGGGAGTTCGCGTAATCCACAATTCACCAGCGACAGCGATGTGACGTCGTCCAGCGCCCCCGTGCGCAGGGCGTCGAGGACGTGCGACGCGCTGGCCCCGGTGAGATCGACCGCGCGCGGTGGACGCGCGCGCGGGGCGTCTGGGAGATCGCGAGCGACCATGACGCGCGCGAGACGCGCGCGCGAGTGCGGGACGCGCGTCGAGCGCCGAGAGCGCGCGACGGGGCGTCACGCGGCACGCACGGGCGACGGGACGGCGCGATGGCGCGCGCGATGGCACGCGATGGCACGCGCGCGCGCGCGCGCGCGGGCGGGCGGGCGTGGGATCGAGGACGGCGACGCGCGAGCGATGGATGTGGACGCGGGGCGCGCGGACGCGGGCGGGCGGCGCGGGAGACGAACGACGGCGCCGCGGTGCGGCTAGGTGCGGATCCGCCGACGCCGACGACGCGCGCGCCGGCCGTTGGTCATCGCGCGGGAGCGTCAGGGGGGGTGAGGTGATCGAACACGCGGGAGACGTCGTGGTGAAGGGGGACGTCGAGCGAGACGGAGCGGTGCGCGCGCGCGGCGACGTCTTCGTCTGGGGATCGCTCCGGGGGGAGGTGGAGATCGATCTCGGTGAGGATGGTGATGATGCAGAGGTGCGGGCGTTGGATATGCGTCCGGAGGTGCTGCGGATCGGTAAGGCGGTGATGGACGCGCCGGCGCACCTGTTGGTCGCGGACGCCGTCGACGGACGACCGCTTCGGGCGCGCCCCGAGATTGCGCGCGAGCGAGACGGGAAGATTGTCATCGGTGGGATGAAACCGTTGACGACGAGCGAGACCGCGAACGATCCCGCGCGCGCGGTGAGGAAATCGGCCAAGGTCACCGGCGCGTACATCGGTTTGGTCGGCGTCGCGCTTCTCGCGCGTCCGCGAGCGGTGTTCTCCCTCCTCTTCAACGCGTTGGAGATCTCGTCGGTTTGGATACGCGTTTTCGGTGTTCTGTGCGTCACGTTCGGGATCTGGTACACGGTCGTCCCTTCGCTCGAGTCCAAGGGGATCTCGTTATCGTATTATCGAGCGAGCGTCTTCGGCCGCGCGTGGGTCTTCGCCTCCCTCGTCGCCATCGCCGTCCTCGAACCCTCCGCGCGCCTCGGACTGATTCTCTTAGGTTCCATCAACGCGTTGTCCGCGTTCGTCATGCATCGCGCCATCGCGTGCGTCGATAGATGACTTCGCGCGACGCGCTCGATGTCAACCGTCTCGCCGACGCGAGTCGTTGCATTCTCCGCACACGCGACCGCGCGATGCCGAATCACAAAAAAGTCAAGGCTGAACGCGACCGCGCCGCCGCCGCCGCCGAGCGCCATCGGCGTGAACGCGAGGCGAGAGCGTCGGTCGAGGAACGACAAAGAAGGATGACGGAAATGCTTCGAGAGCGGGGTGGACGCACCGTGCTCGATCGCGAGAGCGGACGAAGCTTCACCGTGGGCGGCGCGGGCGTGAGCGGGGCGAGCGGGGCGGAGATGGCGCTGAACCTGCTGCGGATGCGATTGCAAGCGGAGGGTGGACGCGAGCCGAGCTTGGTTTTTCAAGACGCGCCGCGAGATCGCGACGAGGACGACGAAGACGAACTCATGAGGAATCAGTTGGGGATAAGCCAAGACGCGGCGACGCGGTACGAAGTCGGGGATGAGGTTGATTTCATACGAGATGGACGAGCGTTGGGACCGCCGTACGAGTCCGAGAGACCGGGCGAGAGCTATTGGATGCGAGGAATAATCATCAAGAAGTGGGCGTTGGCCAAGGAGTTCGATAACTTGCATCGCCTCCCCCTGCGAGAGGTTCCGCCCGTGTTCCCGTACGCCGTGCGCGTGTTAGATGAAGACGGAGAACACGGCGAGGTCTGGCCCGTGCTACGCGACGATCCCGATCACTGCCGAGCAACGGCGGCGAAGTACCAAACCGGTTACGAAGGCTTGCGTTTCAAGGTTGGCGACGCGGTGGAGTGCGCGATCGGCCCCAACGAGTGGATGCGAGGCACCGTTCGCGAACTTCATAAGCCCTACCCCGCCTGGGGCCACGGATGGTACGCGGATGGAAAAAGTATCGCGGGCGCGACGAAGGATACCGTTCCGTACTTCGTCACCCCGCACGGCAAAGAGCTCCACGGTGCTTACGAGTACGAGGACATCATCATGGTTCCCGCCGATAACGACGGCTACGTGCGCGCCGCGAGATGAGCGCTCTCCCGCGCGTTCGTTCGCGCCCCGTCGCGACGCGCGTCATCCGCCGCGCGCGTCTACTTTCTGTATTGTACCAAATCTCAAGCCATGTACTACATATCCCGCACACCGACTCGCGCCAGGGGAACAGTTTTCCCACATTTAAACGAATCTGCACACATCGTCACCGACCGACGCGCGCGCGAGCGTCTCTCTCGCGGCTCGCTCGTCATGCGGTGCGTCGACGCGCGTCGCGCATCTTTCCCTCGACCGCGCGCGCGCACCGATCGCGCTCGACGGCGCCGTCGAACGAACAATGAGGCGAAGATCGTCGCGCGGACACTGACGCGCGCGACATCGACATCTTTTCCCGCGCGCGCAGGGAAATCGTGCACATCCAAGCCGGGCAGTGCGGGAACCAAATCGGGGCGAAATTCTGGGAGGTGCGTGTGACGGATGATGGCGTTGAAACGCGTCGAGCGCGTGACGAGAGGGCGATGTACTGTTGAGAATCAACCATTCGCGTGGTGCGTGATCTCGAGACTGACGTCGCGTCGACGCCGCGCTTTACGTGCGCGTAGGTGATCTGCGATGAACACGGCATCGGTGCCGATGGGACCTACATCGGGGACTCCGATTTACAGCTCGAGCGCGTGAACGTGTACTACAACGAAGCGAACGGAGGTGCGTCGAAGAGCGAGAAGCTAACGGCTCAAAAAATGAGCGATGAATATTTGGACTACTCGTGATTCGTGTCGATTCGTGACGCTTTGGGGGCTCTGTCGTCGTGAAATCGCGTGGGAAAACTGGACTGACGTGTGCATCGCGTTCGCGACGCAGGACGCTACGTGCCAAGAGCGGTTCTCATGGATCTCGAGCCCGGAACGATGGACTCAGTGCGCTCTGGACCGTACGGACAAATTTTCCGACCTGACAACTTTGTGTTCGGTCAAACGGGTGCGGGGAACAACTGGGCCAAGGGTCACTACACCGAAGGCGCGGAGTTGATCGACTCCGTTCTGGACGTCGTGCGAAAGGAGGCGGAGTCGTGCGACTGCTTGCAAGGTTTCCAAGTGTGCCACTCGCTCGGCGGCGGTACTGGTTCCGGTATGGGTACGCTTCTCATTTCGAAGATTCGCGAGGAGTATCCCGATCGCATGATGCTCACGTTCTCCGTCGTGCCATCCCCGAAGGTGTCCGACACCGTTGTTGAACCGTACAACGCCACGCTCTCCGTGCACCAGCTCGTTGAAAACGCCGACGAGTGCGTCGTGCTCGACAACGAAGCGCTTTATGACATCTGCTTCCGCACGCTGAAGCTCACGAATCCGACGTTCGGTGACTTGAACCACCTGATTTCGGCCGTTATGTCTGGTATCACGTGCTGCTTGCGATTCCCCGGTCAGCTCAATGCGGACTTGCGTAAGCTTGCAGTCAACTTGGTGCCGTTCCCGCGCTTGCACTTCTTCATGGTTGGCTTCGCACCACTCACGTCCAGAGGCGCACAACAGTACCGCGCGCTCTCTGTTCCGGAGATCACGGCGCAAATGTGGGACGCGAAGAACATGATGTGCGCCGCTGACCCGCGTCATGGCCGCTACCTCACCGCCTCCGCGCTCTACCGTGGACGCATGTCCACCAAGGAGGTCGATGAGCAATTGCTTAACGTTCAAAACAAGAACTCCTCCTATTTTGTCGAGTGGATTCCGAACAACGTTAAGAGCTCGGTGTGCGACATCCCTCCGAAGGGTCTTAAGATGTCCGCCACCTTTGTTGGCAACACTACCGCGATTCAAGAAATGTTCAAGCGCATCAGCGAGGCGTTCACGTCCATGTTCCGACGCAAAGCGTTCTTGCACTGGTACACGGGTGAGGGTATGGATGAGATGGAGTTCACCGAGGCTGAATCGAACATGAACGATTTGGTGTCCGAGTACCAGCAGTACCAGGACGCCACTGTGGATGATGACGGAGATTACGACGACGACGACGACGGAGCGTATTAAATAACATCGCGCCCGCTCGGCGGCTCACGCGGATGCGAGCTCGCCGTTCCTCGCGCGTTCGCACTCTTTAGACACCACCCACGGCTAGCGTAGGACTCTCGATGCCCAACTCTCGAACGGCATGCAAATATGTAAACAATGAACGATGGTGAAGACGAAACTCCACATCCACCGCCGACCGAGCCCTCTGCGACGCGCGTCGCGTCGCCCGCGTCCCGCACTCTCCGACGCGTGGCTTCGACATGTCCCTCGCCTCTCGCGCCGCGCTTCGCACGACCAGCGCTCTCGGTAGACGCTCCGTCTCTCGATCCACCCGCACCGTGCGCTCCGTCACGCGATGCGACGCCACGGGCCCCGTGTGCGTCGTCACCGGTGCCTCGAGAGGGATCGGCGCCGCGATCGCGTTGAAACTCGGTGAATCCGGTGCCCGCGTCGTCGTCAACTACGCCGCGTCCGAGGGTCCGGCGAACGCGGTGTGCGAACAAATCAAAGCCGCGGGCGGGGACGCGATCGCGGTGAAGGCGAACGTGGCGAATCCGGAAGAGGTTGACGCGTTGTTCAAGGCGACAATGGATAAGTTTGGCGAGGTGAACGTCCTGGTGAACAACGCCGGGATCACCAGAGATACGCTGATGATGCGAATGAAGCTGCAACAGTGGCAGGAGGTTATCGATTTGAACCTCACGGGGGTTTTCCTGTGCACGCAGGCGGCGACGAAGCTCATGGGGAAGAAGAAGCCGGTGAGCGGACGGATCGTGAACATTACCTCCGTGGTGGGGGTGACGGGGAACGCCGGTCAGGTGAACTACTCCGCGGCCAAGGCGGGGGTGATCGGTCTCACCAAGACGGTGGCGCGTGAATACGCCGGACGTAACATTCAGTGCAACGCCATCGCGCCGGGTTTCATCGCTTCAGATATGACGGCGGTTCTCGGCGAGGAGCTCGAAAAGAAGATTCTCACGACAATCCCGGCGGGCCGATACGGTCAACCGGAAGAGATCGCCGGTATGGTCAAGTTCTTGGCGATGGATCCGGCGGCGGCGTACATCACCGGCCAGACGATCCACGTCGACGGTGGCATGGTCATGTAAGGTTCTCGACCGCGTCGTTCAACCTAGGGTTGATAACTTTTGAATATATTGACAACAAATTCTTCCTCTTTGCGTACAAAACTGAGCGATTGCGCTCTCGACTAGTCCACGGACTTCACCCTCGGACCCTTCGCCCACGGGTTGCTTCGCCTGTAGTAACCTCCGACGTAGACAATCTCTGGTTTCGGCGGCGGCGGTTCGACGTATTGCTGTTGCGGCGCTGGCTGCTGCGAGAGCAGGCGTCGGCGGTCGTTATTTTCGTCTTCATCCGATTCCTCGACCGTCGCGGGGACGGGTTCGGGATCGTTTGTGACTTCTACAGCCACCGGTTTGGGCCCGGCCAAGGGGTCGGGCACGGGGTCGGGGTCGATAATGACCACCGGTTTGGGCTCGGCCACGGGGTCGGGGTCGATAACGACCGCCGGTTTGGGCTCGGCCTCAGGCTCGGGCATCGGTTCGGGTACGGGCTCGGCGACGGGCTCCGGAACGGAGGCAGCTATCTGGACGACCTCGATCTCATCCTCAGGGGCCTCCTCTTCGACCATATCCTCAGCGCTCGACGACACTTTCTTAGCTCCAAATCGAGAGAAGAACCCACCGAGGTTGAACGCTGAAGAAGCCGCGGCTTCGTCCTCATCCTCGGAAACGTCTTCGACAACTTCAATCGCCACCGCGGTCTCCTGTTCCGCCGCGCCCGCGTCGACCGCGGCATCGTCCTCGTACACGTCCTCGACAACATCTTCGACGACTTCAACCGCCGCGGCGGTCTCCTCTTCCGCCGCGCCCGCGTCAACCGCGGCATCGTTCTCGTCCACGGGCGTCTCCGCCGCGCTCGCGTCCACTTCAACCGGATCCGGAACGATCGACGTCGGTGCTGGCGACGGTGCGGTCCATCCATCGACGTCCTCCGCGTCCGCCTCCGGGACGACGTCCAGCGCGGCGTCTTCGCGCGCCTCCCCCTCGCTCACCTCCGCCGTCGTTTCATCCAGTAACGATCGCTCGACGTCCATCGTCATCTCCACGTCCGTCTCCCTCTCCTCGACGACCTCCATCGCGTCTACGCGCGCGTCGTTCGCGTCTTCGTCCGCGTCCTCCGTCTCCGCCTCCTCCGTCTCCGTCGTCGAAATCATCATCCCCTCCTCCGTCGTCTCCGCCGACGCCTCGAGCGCGTCCTCGTCCGCATCGAACGCATCGAACGCGTCGTCATCACGTCCCCATCCGTGCACGACGTCGCGTTCGTCGGCGTCGACGCGCGCGTCGCGTTCGAATTCAAACTGTTCGTCCAACGCCCGCGGCTCGTCGACATCATCTTCCGTCTCGTCCAGCCACGCGTCGTCGAACGCGTCGGCGGCGAGGACGAGGGCGAGCACGCACACCGCGAGCGTCCACGCGCGCCGTCGCATCGTCCCTCGCACGCGGCGCGCGACGCGAGGTGCCGACACACGCGCGCGCGCGTTTCTAATGGACACTTTGTGGGACGTCGCGCGCGATTGCGCGCGCGTCCCGGGGACGCCGAGCGAGGACGTCGCGCGGACGTTCTTGGAGACGTACTCGTGGGACGTCATCGCCGATCGCGCGCGCGAGGTGACGCGAGTGGGAGATGAAACGTTGATGGATGACGTGACGGCGTTGTGTGAAAAGATGAGTTCGACGGTCGTCGGGGCGGAATCGCTGAGCGAATCGCTCGACGCGACGCGTGGACGCGATGCCGTCGACGCGTGGTTGCGTTCGAGCGATGCGAGGGTGGTGCGATTGGCGTGCGGGCTCGTGGGGGCGGTGTTCGCGCGCGGACGGGACGCGCGCAGAGTCAGAGCGCTGGGAGAGGCGACGCGGAGCGGATTGGCGCGTGTTTTGGTGCGTGGATCGACGGAGACGGCGAGTTTGGCGTCCAAGGCGTTGTTGTCGTTCAGTGGGCGCGCGATCGAGGGGTTGGAGGAGACGCTGAGAGCGGTGCTCGAGACGGCGCGAACGGAGGGGGCGAACGGAGAGGGAAACGCCAGGGCGCTCGCGTTCGCGGCGAGCGCGGCGTCGGCGAGCGATGCGGCGGCAGAGATCGTGGTGCGCTCGGGGTCGTTGAATCAATGCGTTCGAGAGATCGAAAGCGAGGATCTTCTCGCTGCGAGCGCGGCGATGGAGATTCTCGCCGAGGTGGCGGAGTCGTCGCCGGGCGCGGCGAGCGGTCTGCGGCGCGTTGATTCGTTGAGCGATGCGCTCGAGCGCATCGCGCTCGATGAGAGCGGCGACATCGGTGTGCGTATGAGAGCGATCGTCGTCGGCGCGCGCATCGCCGCGACATCGACGAGCGGTGATGACGCGTTGGTCAAAGACGCGACGCGGACACTTTTAGAGCTCTCCAATGACGAGCCATCTCGAGACGTCTTGGACGCCGTCGCGGAGGCTGCCGGGGCGATATGTCTGTCAAACGCCAGCGTGGCCGGTGCGTTCGTGACAAAGGCGAGGAAGCTCGTATTCGACGTCGCGCACAGGGCGCTTCGCGGAAGCGGGCAGTCGCAAGTCGTCGCCCTGCACTCGATGGCCAATATGTTTGGCGCAGAGCGCGGAGACGATCGATCGATCGGCGTCGACGCGGAAGCAATTCTCGCCGACGCGTGTTTCACAGCGTGTGGACCGAAGACGTTTGGTGACGTCGTCTTCGCCGCTATCTCCGTCAAGAGCGACCACTTTCTCGACTTGCGCGTCGCCGCGTACCGCCTGATTGGCGCGCTCGGCGCTCGGCGCCCGTTCGCTGAGGAGATCGCCGCCCACCCTGAGTGTCGCCGAACGCTTTGCCAAGAACGCGAGCGCGTGTCCGTCGCCGCCACTTTCCGTGCACGCGCCCTCGAAGCCCTCTCCCGGGCGGAGATCGCCGACCAAGCCGCGCGCGCCGAGTTCGCTTCAGCCGTCTCCGCGCCGTCGCCGCGCAACCGCGTCGTCGCCAGACCCGACGTCGACGTCGCCCACCGCTAGCCCACCTCCATGAATCATAGCATCACACCATTCTCCATCGATCACCGACATCGGGCATCCCATGATCAATCGCGCGCGCCACCGTCCGCTTCGCCGCCGGACCGTTCCGTCGCGCGCGCCAACCACCTCAAAACCCACTGGTCCTCGACACTTCCCGACACGTCTCGCGCGTCATGGTCGGCGTCGCGCGCGGTGACGTCAAGCCAGAGCTCGACGATGATAACCCGTGCGTGGCGTAGACGTCGTCGCGACCGCGTGGACGCGCGCGTCGCGTTGAAACGCGTCGATGAAGTGGATTCGACGGCGGCGGCGGTCTCGGTCTCCACGGGAAAAGCTCGAACGACGAGTGACTGACGACGACGACGCGACGATGCGATCGCGACCAGGGTGGTGACGACAATGCCGGTGTACTTTAATCGCGTTCTCCCGCAATCGCGCGAAGGCTTGGCGCTGGTGCAGGTACGGAGAGAGTCGTCGCGCGGTGGAGACGCGAAGGCGACGAACGCGACGCGAAGGCGAACACTGACGATGCGATGACATGCGGTTCGAGCAGTACCCGCTGCGACCGGCGGAGCGGCCGTATGACGTGGAGGGGTTGGAACAGGTGAAGTTCAAGCGAGAGGCGATGCGATTGGAGATGACGCTGCCCATCGAGGCGAACGAGAGGAATCGAGACAACTCGGCGGCGGACAGTCAGAAAATCACATCGCTCGTCTTGACGAGTGCGAGCGCGAAGACAGAGGCGCATCACGGTGGGGTCGTGGTCGGTACCGTGCGAGATGGGGGGCTATATCTCACGCCGATCGACGCAGTGTATCAGATGCGACCAAGCTTGCGTCACTTGGACGCGGCGGATAGCGCGCTCAAACCTCGAGATTACGATAGGGAGGAACGAGAAATGCAGGAAGAGGAGGAGAGAAATTTGCTTCCGCTTCAGGTGCAAGTGCGACGGAGAGAGACCACGAAACAGACTGAGATTCGAATGAGTTCGCACGCGTATCTGCGTCAGAGAGAGTCTGAGGAGTCTTGGATTTCGCTGAAGCCGTCCATGCCTGGCGACGACGAAGCGGGCGCACTTCGAGCGGCCGTTACGACAACACGCGCGGAATCGTGCGGCCAGACGATTTCAGCGCGAGAATACCTCGACGCATTGTGCCCCGTGAGCGGAAGCAAGCGCGTCGCCCCCGAGGACGAAGACGCGAACACGCTCGGCGATGGAAGCGGTCTGAGTAAATCTCAGCTCGCGTCTTTACCTATCGAGCGACGCATCCGGACGCTCTTCGCAAAGGGTCAAAAGTCGGTTATGAAGTTTAGCAGAATTCGTCAATTCGTGACGGAGAACATAGAGGTCGATAGGCTAATCGAAGTGATTCAGGACTGCGCCCACTTGGTACAGGGTAACTGGGTGGCAAAGTCGACGCTTCGCTGCGGCGGCAACGTGACGTGGGAAAACATGCGCGATTCGGCGCTCTTCCAGTTCGCTCGCGCTCGAAACGTCAAACCAGAGCTAGTATCCAACTGCCTAAAGCGTAACGGGACCAAACCGGATCCTACGCTCGCAAAGATGCGACGGGAAGTTCTCGCAGAGTTCTCGTCTCCTCGAGGTTACGGCAGCGCAGCGGATGGATTCGAGTTCAATGAGTCTACCGACGAAGGTTTCCTTGCGGATTTTCCGGATGTCGCACAGAGAGAGATGGAGTCTTGGCTCGCCTTGGCACCGTCTCTTGACGTCACGCTCCTGTCAAACGAGCTCACGATTCCGAGCGTTCCGCCGCATGTTTCGCAGGTTCGTCTCACGTCCGTTCGATCGCTCGTGTACTCCAGATTCGAGAAGAAGACTCATCTTTCTCTGGTGGATATTCGAGCCTTCCTTTTGACGCAGGCACCCGACATAGCGGCGTGCGCGTACTTCAGGCAGGCCGAGTTACTCGGCATGTTCGACGGCGCCCTGGCGTGCATCGAGGGCGTGTGCGTCCTCGTGTCCGTGGACGATCCCGCGATCGATACTCTTCGACGAAAAATATTAGGCTTACTCTACAAGCAAGGCGGTGCCGTGAAACGCGCCGAGATCATGGAAGTCGCGGGTCCGACGAGTCAGCACACGTACACAAAGGTGCTCTCCGACCTGTGCACGTCCAAGGGAAACCTGTGGACCATCAAGGCTGCGGAGGAATTGCAATTTTAGGCACCTAGGACCTGCGATTCCTTGGATGGAATTCCCAATTCTCCGCGACGGCGCGTGTAACAACATCCCATGTTTCATCGACTCCTACGTTACGCTACAATCGTCTAGGGCGCGCCGACGCCCTCTCGTCGTCCGCTCACTTTTTCCCACCCTGCTCCTCCATCCGCAGCTTAAGCGTGCGTTCAGATTTCGTCAGGATAAAATCATCCCACACCTTATCCAACCCCTTCGCCTTACTTCGCTGCCGCGCTCGATACGCCGCGACGAGCTCCGGTTGCTTCGCCAACGCCTCGCGTCGCTTCGCCTCCAACGCCCCCCGTTCGCGCTCCCACTTGTGTCCCTTCCCCGCGCGCTCGACCGTCTTCTGCACCCCGGGCGTTCGGTCCCACGGCCACGGGTGTCCGTTCGCCAGCGCCGCCGCGCGCAGCGCCGCCACCGCGCGCGCGGGCAACTCGGGCGCGCGAAACCTCCCGCGCGCGTCCACGCGCGGCGCCCCCGCGTCGGGCATCTTCGCCAGCGCCCGCGCGAGCTTCTCGGGGCATCGGAACATAAGTGCGCGAGGTCTCGGTGGACCAGCGCGCGCGTCGACGGACGCGGGCGCGGCGGGGGCGCGCGCGGTCGAGGATCACGCGTGAGCGCGCCACGGGTGTGTGTGCGCGCGCGCCGCGGACGACGACCGCGACGCGCGCTTCACACGGACGCGCGATCGATCGGGACGCGTGGACGAGTGTAGTGCGCGCGCGACGACGACGCGGGCGATGGCGCGGGAGGACGCGATGACGCGCCCGGCGGTGGTGATCGACAACGGCACGGGCTGGACGAAGATGGGATTCGCTCGAAACGTGCGGCCGTCGCACGTGATCCCGACGTGCGTCGCGGCGAACGGGGCGACGACGAGCGGGAAGATGATGGATGATTTGGACGTCGCGATCGGGCGGGAGGCGATGGCGCTGTCGGCGTCGAGAGAGGTGCGATGGCCGATCAGACACGGGACGGTTGAGAATTGGGAGGACATGGAGCGGTTCTGGCAGGCGAGCGTGTGTCGATACCTGCGGTGCGACCCGGAGGATCATTACTTTTTACTCACGGAACCGCCGCTGAATCCGCCGGAGAATCGCGAGTACACGGCGGAGATTTTCTTTGAATCGTTCAACGTGCCCGGGTTGTACATTGGCGTGCAGGCGGCGCTCGCGCTCGCGGCGAGCATCGCGAGTAAGAAGCAGAGTCAGTACGCGTCGGCGCTCACGGGGACGGTGATTGATATCGGGGACGGGGTGACGCACATCATTCCCGTGAGCGATGGGTACGTGTTGGGAAGCTCGATCAAGAGCGTGCCGCTCGCGGGACGGGACTTGACGACATTCGTGCAGTATTTAATGCGAGAGCGCGGGGAGAAGATACCCCCGGAAGACGCCATGGAAGTCGCGAGGAAGGTGAAAGAGGACCACTGCTACGTGTGCAAGGATATGGTGAAGGAGTTTCTGGCGCACGAACGAAAGCCGGGTGAACACGTCGTGCAGATTAACGGCACGCGAGGAAAAACCGGCGAAAAGTGGTCGGCGGACGTCGGCTACGAGCGCTTCCTCGCACCCGAGGTGTTTTTCAACCCAGAGATTTACTCTTCGGATTATATCACTCCACTTCCCGAGTTGGTGCACCAAGCTATAGCGTCAAGTCCGATCGATACGAGACGCAACTTGTACGGGAACATCGTGCTGTCGGGCGGAAGCACCATGTTCAAGGGGTTTGGGAAACGCATCAAGCGAGACGTCAAGCGATTGGTAGACGAGCGCATTGCGGCGACGACCAAGGGAGGGACGTTGACGTCGAAGGAGGTGGACGTCGAGGTGGTGACGCACAACTTCCAACGCACCGCCGTTTGGTTTGGAGGTAGCGTCCTCGCGTCGACGCCAGGTTTCTATTCGAGTTGCGTCAGCAAAGCTGATTACGAGGAACATGGTGCGAACATCGTTAGACAAAATCCCGTTTTCCGTGGAATATAGGATTTTCTATGACAACTAACTGCTACAGCGCCGTACGGCGACGTCCAGCGTCCACCGCGCCGTGTGCGTTGAGTAGCTCCCGCTCGCGCTCCGTCTCTTTCTTTTCTCGCTCCAGACGCTCGCGTCGCAAGCGCTCCATCTCACTTTTCGAGCTCTCTCGTTTGGACGACTTCACTCCCTTTTCGCTCCGTCGTTTCTTCTCTCGCCGACGCTCTCGCTCATCTTTCGCATCCGCCTCGCGCGCGCGCTTCGACGCGCGCCCGCTCGTGAGTCGCCGTAGCGCCTCGTCATCCTCCCGCTCCGCCCGCACTCGCGACGGCAACGTCGATCGCGGATTCACTTCCTCTTCGTCTCCGATCGTTCGCGCGTACCACGGCGCACTCGCGTTCGTACGTCCTCCGAAACGCGTCCCGCTCTGCTCGGCGTCCCGCTCGCGCGCGTCCCGTTTCGCGTCTCTCCCCCCCCCATGTTTCGCCGCCATCTCTTCTCGAGCGAACAGATTCACGTGTTCGCCGCCCACCGTCGACGCGCGTCCCGATATCGCGCGTTCCTCCGCCTCGCGCACGCCGAGCGCCTTCCAACGCGCCGAGCGAGCGTCGTTTTCTCGCTCGCGAAGTTCCTCTTCAGCGATCTCTCGCGCCAACGCCTCGTCCCTTTCGACGCGCGCGCGCTGTTTCGCCCCGTACACGTTCCAGCTCTTGTGCGGTAAGATGTTTAACCCGCCGTGGCCGCCCATGACGCCGCGAGACGGCGAGACGACGACGCGCGCGAGGCGCGGAGTGGCGCCGAGAAGGCCGCGACGCGCGACGACGCGTCCCGATGTCGCCACGAGCGCACGCGCGCGCGCGAGGACGCGAACGAGAGACAATGCACTACACCGACGCGCTAACTCGCCCAGTCTCGCGCCACCGCGCTCGCTCTCTGCGCCTCGCGCGCCTCGCTCTCTCGCGCGCGCTCCGTCTTCGCCCGCTCCGCCCCGCGCGTCGCCGCCTTCCCGTGCGCGCTCCGTTCGAACGCCTCCAATCTGCGCGCCGCCGCATCGCTCGCACCTCTGCGCGCCGCCGCCGCCGCGCGCGCCTCCGCGCGCGCCGTCGCGCGCCGTCGCCGTCGTCGCGCCGCGCAGCATCCAAAGCAATCCAAACAATCCACCCCTCGCGCGTCCGCGTCGTCGCCCCCGTCGTCATCGGACGT